TGTTAATAAAATATGGCTATGGAAGAGGCTTTTTCCATTGGGACGGAGTAGACTTTCAAATCGAATTGATCTGATTTGCTGTACTATACTGAATTGCAAACGGCCTAACAGCACTCGTTAAGCGAAATGATAAATGTCTTTGCTAGTTAACGTCGAATTCATGTTAACGCCTTTCAATATTTTTAAGGAAAATGTCTTTTACTGTTTTACATGGATGTCTGACATACGGAGTAGGGAAACATGCCCTCATCATTACAAAGCTGATCAGTTGTCAGGCATGTAACGCCTCCTCTGGCATTAGCGGAGCCCTTCTAAAACCTCCTCCTTTCGTTGGGTTAAACATTATAACATGAGAACTGATAGCAATCTAGAGCTTTCATTGATCACACGGGAGGAAGTCCTCGATACGAATGTTTCCGTCCCCGTTAGGCAGTCGCTAACATATCTGAGAAAGTTTCCAAATGAAATGAAATTGTTCAACTAAAAAATTTCAGGCGACAAACGGGTGTACAAAATTCGTCGTGGAGCGAGAATATAGTTTTTTTATTACTTGTATGTAATTTCATTATAATTTGATAAGAAACTGTCATTGACCTCAATTTTTTTAATTAAAATCTATAAATATAGGATTAATTGTAATATATATATATATAGTTTTAAAAATAAGTCTAGCTTCCTAAAAAAGCAATTGTTTCATCATCTAATAACATGCAAGCACGGAAGCAATCGAATCGCGTTAAAGTATTTTGCGATTTTTTTTTTTTTTAGTTTCTTTTTCGTAAATGTCACTTGAATTTGCCAAGTGGGACAGCTCATGTCTCAGGGAGTGAGATTATAGTCACTGTCAGTGCCAAAATTCTATATACATACGAAATAAAAAAAAATTTCTGTGCATTTTTTCAGCAAACGAAAAAGAAAAATGTATTAAAAGGAATTAAGAGGACTAGCTATGGTTGTTTTGGGACGAATCTTGGATACTCAACACTTGAATAATATTTCAGGTATAGCGTTGAGTTTTGAATAAGTAAGAAAGTTGTATTTGGCGGTGGCCGAATACCCACAACTATGTTTTTCGCATTCTACTTTCCAAGTTCTTTTCTTTTATGGTCCACTGCGCGCTTGTCCTCCCGCCGGTTTGGCCAATTTTCAATACCAACCTGCGTGCAGAAACTTCCAATGCTTCTACAAAATAGGATAGTGCCAACAACAGGCATCACACAGGTGGCCAGACATGGATAAGTTATCTCCGAATTTTACGCTGATCAAGAATGTATTTAATTTATAGGATCTCTGGCGCTTCCTTTTGGGTTTTACATATATTATAAGAAAAAAAAAATGTGTCTGTTACAGTGGTGGGTATAAAAAGAATATCATAGTGCTAGCCTTGCATTTTCACTGCGTAGACTAAGTTGACCCATACATAAGTCTTCTTAACACTAATTTCACAAGAAGGCGCGGAGCACTATACATACCTATCAGCATAAGGCTTTCAAACTTTCTTTTCCCGAAGCAACCCAACAATGGTGTCATGTAGTAATTTCTTCATGAGCGACGTGGACACTGAAGAGTAGGGCAAACCAAGTTTCCTCTTCCTTTAGAAATACGCTTAAGAAACTCTCCTCCCATGTAAATTTACTCATAATCAACATAAAATTCTTTGAATTTTATTACTCATGTCTGTGCGTCCGTTGGTTCGTTGTCTATTGTTAGAACATTCGCAATCGCATACAAATTGAAATAAACACTTGCAAAGTGTTCTACGTGGTAAGAAATGATGGTCCCAGCAATAAATTATCAAAATGGCCATGATTCGCATTAAAAACAGCACTTATACAGCAGACCATAATCTACATTTATTATTATTATCATTAACCCGCACCATGACCTAGCAGATCTATTGTACTCGCCCGTCCCCCCAGGCTTACAGCTTTAGGGTTTTTGTGAATTCTGGCACCTTCTTTGGTTCAGAGCATAATGCCGTGAGGGAATTATGAGTCGTGTAGAAGCCTGTGACCGACCGCTTCTTTTTAATTACCTGCCGTTGTCCAGCAAATTACATCCAATGGCACTTGGTACTTGGTACGCCACCTTTTGCGCCCATAATTAATAAAAAGTGAAATTTTAATGGACGCATGGAATGGTAAAACGGTTGGTATTTTTCGAATTTTTCCGCGATAAGAAAATTAATAACAGCTTCTCTCGCTTAAAAACGCAATTCACAAGGAATTGAGTCCTTAATATGCCAGCATTGACGATTCCATTTTAATTGCAAAACTCAGGAAACGTAATGCCATCATCCAATTATGAACGCCATCTTGACGAGCTCAATTTTCGACGCAGCAAGACTAAGAAGCCACCGCGCAGAAGTAAAACTTCAATTCGCAGTAGGTCCAAGACTAATGGATATTTAGCAAATTGTCCCATAAGTTGTGGCATTCAATTGGTTTCCTCTTTTGCTCATCGAAGAGCACCTTGAGATCCCAGAGCGCCCCTTTTCCAGCTCATAGGGCAAACGCAATTGTTCGGCGAAATCCCGAGTATAGTCAAAATTGTTACGCTTTTGAGGCGGTGCACACGTATCTATCATTTAACACACCCTCTCCTTACTGCTGGATGATTAAAAATCAAGTTAGAAGTCCTAAAATTTGCTTTTTCGTAAATCATATACCTATTAAGTTGAATGAAATATATATATATATATATATATTTTCTCTCTAACAGAAATGCGTACATAAGGTGCAAGGTACCTAACAATTCGTCCCAAGTCGTGGGTAAATTTTTTCTTGTTGACTTCTCTTTCTTTCTTCGTTCCTGTAATTCAATTTAAAATGCCAATACTTTGAGAAAGAGTGAGAGAGAGAGAGAGAGAGAGAGAGAGAGAGAGAGAGAGAGAGAGATGGCTATTAATTATTTAGTTAGTTAGTATCTTGTAAATATTTGTGTTCATTTATCTTAAAGTAAGAAGCAACGGATATGTGAAGAAGAATCAAAAAGTCAAGAAACTAAGTTGTATCACTTTGCTAAAGAATAGCTCAGTATTATGCTATCGTTACAGCTTCCACAGCATCTGTCGTATAAACGAATAAACAAAAATTATATGTAAATCTATTTGAAGAATTTTTATTTACATGTATATATATATATATATATATATATTTTTTTTTTTGATTACATTTAATTTAATTTAAATAACATACAGCAGCACATATATGTATCATCTTCTTTTCATATATGCATTGCTGAGTAGATAAGGTTAAGCGCTTTAAGGTTTTAAATTTGTTTTATAAAGTTTTGAAAGAGCTTCCAACTATCCTTGCATATTATCTTTGCATTCCTCTAAAAGTTGCTAGCATCAGCATATTTATGGAGATGGATATCAACATGAAAGTTGGACTTATTTTAAAATTTTTTTTCTTTTTTTTTTTGCAAAACATTTAATATTAAAAAAAAAGAGATTTTACGAAAAGAAAAACTTTTATAAGATTCTGATAAATTTTAGTATGATATTTCTTTCATAGAGTGATAGTCAGTAGCAGTAGTAATAGCATTCGTAGCAGTAACAATAGCTGTGGTAATAACTATTATTTAGAAGAAATTGAAAGGTTTTACACTATGCGCGCATGAGGGAGACAGGGAACATCATTCAAAATTTCATAACCTCACGGATTCAAACGTTCTAAGAGTAGTCCATATGAGCTCTCTAACTAAATATTACTAGCCCGTATTAAATTGGCTACGAAGCGCCGAAGGTGACTAATAAAAACACTACCCTGAGCAATGGACAGAATTAGGCTAGAGAAAAGCTTGGCTCACTAGAAAAGTCCGAATTCCCTAAGTAGCGTTCCGGCCGGCTCAAATTACTATGTCAACATAAATGTGGCCGTATTGGCGAAGAAATCGTTAAGCTGGCCCAAAAGGATTCTAAATGGAATGAAAAGCGGCTAGATCGCGTTGATGAAGAGAGCATCTGATTAGAAAAGAACAAAGCTAGCCTGGTTCTGATACAATCTAAATAGTAGAGATGGGTCTTAAGGGCAGCGCAGACTAAATAAAAATTGACCACTTTGATCTGAATATGCTTCGAAGTACTCAGAAGTCTTATTCAGGCAAATGGAAGATCTATGTTGACTAGAAGGACCCTGAATTGAAGCAACTATGAAAGACCTTCCGATTTTTATATATTTACTTCAAATAATAGAATCCAATCAATCTTTGAAACATTCTACATGATCCTATTCCACATAATCCCGGATTAGTATGTTTGCTTTTTCGTCGCCGTACTATAATACAATATGAGTCTTTATGCTCACTACCGAACAAAGGCTGCCAATTGGAAATATTAACATGAGCTTGAAAGTTGAAATAAATGTGAGTGATTCATGCTCATCGATTACATTCGAAAGAACGGTCATCCCTACTACCTTGAGAGTTGCTTAATTAATTTAACGCAGTTGATCACAGTGAACTTTTTTGTGGCAAAATGATATCAAACTTGCTATAAAGTCAGTGTTGTAATAACTGCTTGTCTTTAATTCACAAAAAGAAAGTATGCTTTTACAAGGCGTACATAGTCTTCCTGTTATCTATACGCTATATCACTAGTGGTACAAAGGAGTAGTACAATTATGGGGATATATGCAACACTCCAGGAGGATTTGAGATAAATCCAACTTGTCCTATACCGATCGATTCAAAATTACTATATAAATCCGCTTAAATCCGTCTGTCCCTTCACCTATCTTGTTTTTTTATGGTCCAACTTTTTTTTGAAATATATAGTGATGCAATTTGACAAGCTGTCATATCTTGGTCCAAGGATATACGTTATTGCAAAGGGAATGGTTTGGGTCAGACTATTTTTTTGACCGCTTCCTAGATAAAGCCTAATATCGAAAAGTTATCTCTTTATAGGGTGACTTATTGTTGGCCATGGCTTAATATAGTGTTTTTACTCTTTTTTTTATACTTTACTTTATACACGTGAATCTAATTACACTTACCTCGGGTTGGTTTATTACTTTATCATTACAAATACTTTAAAGATATAGAGAAGGAAAGTAACTTTTTCCTGCCGTCTGCGACTTTGATTGATGTTTTAATATACTTTTTAGACGGGTTTTCTACTACGATCAGGCATGTTCTAATTGTTCAGCGAGAAGTAAGAAAAAAAACTTAATAAATTCCCAGACGCTGTATATGAATTTTCACTTTTAATAAAATAATTACGCACTTTATCTAAAATTAATAATTAATTTATTCTTTACACGTACTTAATTTTTCGTTTTGCTCTTTTTTCTTTTTTTTTTTTTTAATATCCACCCATTTTTTATGTTATTTCTGAAAAATCTTTATTTTCTCGAAAAGTATTGTTACCTCAGAATTAGTAGAGCAGCAGCAACAACGACAACAGCGACGACAACAAAATAATAACAACAACTGTTTTTATACACAAAAGAACTAAAGGGAAATAATAAATAAATATCTAAAGAAAATTTACCAAAATTTTTTTTTCGGTAATTTTCTTTTCTTCTCTCTCTCCCTCTCTCTTTCGATTTTTACGCGTACACTCAATCACTTGCTTGCTAACGCACACTAATATAAAATAAAAAAAAATAATTCTTCCCGTTTTTCCTTATTATGTTAAAAAAAGAAAACAGACTTCTTGCAATTTTACCTTTTAACAGAGATATTTTAATCTATTATTTACAAAATGTTTATTCAAATTCCTTTATTTTTCACTTTTTCTCATTTGCACTTTTAAGATATTTCCACATTAACGACAAACATAAAAACCTATTTAATTCATGCAACTTCATGCAAAGACTGATTGAAAATGAAAACTACAAAACAACTGCAAACGAGCAGGATAGATTATAAGTAATAACAATTTAGCGATTTTTGAAACCAAAGTGAAAAAAGTATTTTCTAATTGTCAAAAATAAATAATATCCAAAAATTATTTACGACACAATAATTTTTGTAGCTAATACTAGCTTGTGTTGAAAATGTGAAAGTTTTAAGAAATTATATCACTTTAAGGTAAATTTTGAATATCATCCCAGCATATACCTACAGGTTTCTAAATTATTTATCAAATACGTTCCGAACTATTATTGCATATGCCTAGGACTTTAGAATGTCCAACTGTCAGACTAGTTTCATTTTTCCGGCTACAACAATCCCTTTAAAATATTATATTTAAATAATAAATTATAATTGCTCAAGTACACAGCGTTCTTGTTTTTATTATTACTCGTTTGCAACACCGTCTAATAACGCAGGAGTATATAGCTAATGCACAACTCTGATTGTAAAGAAAGAGTAATGGATAATAACAAAAACACACAGTTGCATTTGAGAGAGCGAACGAGAGAGAGAGAAGTTATACTAAAATTAAAAAGAAAATTTTCCCAAATCCAATGGCCGCCGAGCATTGCCAGTAGGAAAAATAGTTTGAAATTTAATTAAATCAAACTACTCTGAAATCAAAATATAAACCTCTAACCCCCATGAACTATGATTTGCCTTGTGCCTTACAACCGGCTAATTTAGAAATATTTCTACAAATATTTAGTTGATCAAAGGAAAGGAAACTGTCCTAGCTACTAAAAACATCAAAAAAAGTTAGTAATTGTTACCAATTTCTACTCATTCGAAATTGGTAATTTGAAAGAGTAATTAAATCAGCGACATTTGTTTGAATGTATTTGAACTTCGAATTTGGTAACTTGAGAGGGTAATTAGATGAGCGACATTTGTTTTAATATGAATTTAATCCCTTTCCGGGATTCTTTTTATTTATTTAAACTCTGGTAAGCTTTTTTATCCGCAGCTCGTTGAAGATTATTTCAAAATGGCCGAATTCGTTGAATAAGAGTTATTAGCGAGTTTTAACATAAAATATTTCAGTTAGTTCCTTTTTCAATGGTGAATGAGACAGACGAAGAAGAAAGATGGATTTAATGGCGCTGTGTGTGATTTTTAATTAAAATCAATTTGGGGGAAAAAATTATTATTGTTTTAATTAAAACAACAACAACCCATAGAAAAGGAAGTAATAAGTAGTATAATGTGATTAATAAATGTTAAATAAAAAGGAACTTACAGTAAGAGATTTTGAAACAATTTATAACAATAAAGAAAAGTACAGTGTGGAGATGTGTCTGGCAATTAAAGAATAAAAAAAAAAAACGAAATGCAAAGGAAAAAATATTTCAGAAGACTAAAAAACAAGAAGAAGCAATCATGAACGAGAAATAGCAAAGGGAGAAACAAATATCTAACAAAGCAAATGATTGTAAAGAAGAGTAAGAGAACAAGTGAAATACATACAATGATGACGATGATGAAGACATTCGCTTACACACATGCTTAACTCAGCCTAAATAATAGAAAATATAAGAAAAAACCGAAAAAGGCAAAAAGCATACAACGATTAACTACGAGCAATAACAAGAAGAAGAAGAGTCTAATTATGTGTGTTATGTGTGTGTTGATACTGCTGCTGCTGCTAAGCATATTGAGAAATCAGTAATAACAGAAAATCTACACATAAGAGCGGCGTGTATAAGCGCGAGAATTTCCCCTATAGAAAAAAAAAAAAAAATAATTACTCTTGTTGTTGCTGCTTTAAAAAAAGAAAAAAAAGACAGGGAAGTTATTATTTCATACTAAAGCAAGAGAAAACCAATAAAATATAAGACATTTGTATAATTAAAGGAAAGCAAAAAAAAAAAGAATCGCAAAAATTATAAAGAAAAAATATAAAAGTTAAGTTAATAAAGTGTTTAAAAGAAAACATTAGCGATTAAGTGTAAAATAAGCAAAGTGTTAAGAAGTAAAGCGAAAAGCAAAAAAGAAAGAAAAAAAAGAAATCTAAAAATGCGTACGTGAGTTTATGTGCACATATGTCTAACAACATATATTTATATATAAAATAGATATGTATATGTGGAGATACATAAATAATAATAATAATAATACATATGTGTATATATATATTTAAGTGTGAGTGTATATTCAAAGATGATGAAAGAAGAAAAGAGTGTTTAAGCAAAAAATAAAATAAATAAATTTTTTTTACGTAAAATTGAAGAAAAATTTCTTAATAAAAGTATAATATATTCATAATAAAGACGATTACAAATATATATATATTAATAAAATACAGTAAAACTAGTATAGATTAAGCTTAAAAATAATATATAAATAAATATGTAAAAAAAAAAATTGTGGTTATAAAAGGAAATATCAATTTAAAATATATTTACATATATATGCGTGTATATATATGCACAGGTCTAAGAGTATGTGTTTATCGAAACTCAAGGGAGAGATTATAAAAAACTTTCTATGTAATAATAAAAAACAAGAAAAAAAAATTAACTGAAACAATCATAGCAACAATAAAAAGGTAAGTTTTTTTATATAAAAAAAAATTTTTTAAGTCAAAATTTTTTATATCCAACACAGGGAAGTATCCTAAAATGATTTTTAAGTTGTATTCGTCCGTCCGTCCGCAATTACTTGCATATTCTGAAAGCGTTAGCGACAGAAAATATGTCTTTAATGATTTAATTTGTGAATAGATCGACTGCCGAATTTTTATTAGATTAAACTTGATTCAACCATGTCTGTGTGTCCATCTGTTCCTTTGTTGTTGTTTATTTTTCAGCAGATCATTCTCTATTTCAAATTCATTCTTCATTCATTGTCATTCGTCTATAACTCGCAAAAAAAGAAAAAAATGTTTATATTTTTTTTACGCCCACAAACTTTTCTTAGAATATTACATTTAGTTTTATGTCTTCCATTTTTTTGTGAGCGAAGCACTGCTTTTGCCCATTATTAATATGCAATCCTACATAAAATATAAAGCAAAAGAGTCACTTGACTTTTATTCATAGCGTTTTAGCAAACCATTTTATTTTAATTCGTAGAATTATTTCAAAGATGTGTAAGCAAATTGTCTTAAAACTAGGGCTTCCAATGTCGGGTAATGAAGTAGCTGATCTTTTTGTCTTGTCTACCATTCAAATAGCATACCATAAACGAATGTACTACGTAACTTTGTGATGGATATTAAAAAGTTTGGCTTAGGTCGTATTTAAGCCATTGGTTTGTTTTTTTTTTTTTTTTCTTTCAATTCGGTACTTTGTTTCTACTTTTTATGTCTGTCTACGAGCCTTTAGTTAATTTATTTTAAGTTTTTTTTTTTCAATTTTTATAATTCTTAATTCAAGCCAATACAGTATAATTTTTTTAAAAGGTTCTTAAGGGGAATATAATAATTTAGTCATATTTCACCTGCAGTGCACTCGGATAATTCCCACTGGAAGCAATATTAAATATATTTATAGTCAGCCTCTTAGTTTTGACGCATATTTGGGTTTGTTTCTCGGTCCTTTTGAATTTTGTGCTTGGAACTTTCTCATAACCAATATCCCAATATATATATATACCTTAAGAAGTCTTCTTTTTTGCAGTGTGTAGATCTAAACAAAATTTTGCAATATAACTCCGTCATCCCGAGTATCTAAACTTTTTCTTTATTATAAAAAAAGCGCATCCGGAATAACTAGTCGAAAGGACATTCCGAAATCAGCTAAGGTTGGCTTCATATTAATTTAGAAAAGTACTAAGCTCAATATATAATTTTTCCTTTTAACACGGAACCCTTAGCCCATGAAATCTTGCTCAATTTTTTATTATTATAATAGTGTATGTATATGTAACGGCTGGTATGGAAGGTCTCTCCGCCGTTTTTTTGGTCTTCTTTTGAGGTTCTTTTTGTAGCCTGCTCTTTTCAAATGGCTCTAAATTGTCATCTTGTTCAGTGCTTAGTGTGTCCGTTATTTCCTGACAATATATGTAGTATATAAAATATATACATATATATGAATATGTGCGTGCGTGGTACATACGTCTAGCATAGGTACAGTACATGTATATCTATATACAAATACGTCCTGTTAAATACCTTATAAAATGTCAATAATAGTTAGCCCAAAGCTCTCTGTTGAAGGAGAGAAACTCTTATAGAAAGTAAGAAGGTCTGCAAATGGATTAAAAATAGAAATGGTTTATCTTTGTAAAATATTTTTGCTCTAGCTAATTAAGAAGAAGAAATAATTTCAAAAGAAGTAAAAGAAAAAAAATTAACCGCTTAAAGCAAAATAATTTACATATCTGTATGCATTGTGATCGATCACCACTCATAAAACC